AAAAAAAAAGAAGAGAAAATTCGGGTCAGGGGCCTGCACCATCTTCCCGTCAGGGCCCAAGATGTGTTTTGCCACTCCTGATCCCTGCATCCAGCCTCTTTACCAACAACTTTGTCCATGTAGATTAACCTCTCCAACCTCCAACTGTCTGTGAGATTTAGGGACTTCTGCCAGGATACAGGGGAGTTCTGATTTCCTCTGGGTTTGGGGCACTGAGGTATTCTTATACTTCCTGATCACACCAAACCCTGCCAACATGTCTCAATCTTCTCCATAAGCTCTCTGGGAATGTAAGGGTATTCATACCCATACTCCAAAGCCACTTGTTTCTGAACAACTCTCTGTAGCATTGAGAACTGGAGTAGTCCTCCACATTCACTTTTCTCTGGAGGAACACAAGGAGTTGCAGCCTTTCTGATTAGTTCTCTGTGCACTTCACTCTTGGCCAGCACTTTAGCAAAGGTGCATGGCGGGACAAATTAACTTTTGCCAACCTGAGCTCACTATGTCTTGTCTAGTCACAGTCTCCTAGCAATTTTCAAAAGTAGTGTGCTCTTTCCCTAGCTGCTTCACGGTCTACTTCTGGGGTACCCACTGCCTTCTGCCGCTCTCCTCTGTCCCCTCAGGACCAATCATAGTGAGATCCCTTTTGAAATGTTCCACTTTTCATTGTCCCCTTCTGACTGCTCTGTATCAAATTTTGGCAACCCCGGGTCAATCCTGGGGGTAATGGCACTGCAGAAACAGTTTAAGGGCAAGCATTTATAAACCTATTACAAGACAATTTTATGGTAGAGTTCATAGAGGCCTTGACTAGGAATGATTCTCTGCTGGACCTGGTAATCTCAAACCATGCAGAGGTTATTACTAATATTAATATATAGGAACATCTGGGAAGCAATGACCATAACATGATTTCATTTAATGTTAACTGAAAACAACATGCACATACTGGAAAGATAAAAACACTCAACTTTAAGAGAGCAAATTTTCCAAGGATGAGGGTTGCTCTTCTAGACTTAGACTGAGAGGGAATATTGGAATCAATGACCACAGAACATAATTGAGAATGCTTCAAAAAAACCATATGTGAACACACTGCAAAAAATATTCCCATTGGCAGTCAGTTTAAAAGGTTAAAAATAAAACCTATGTGGCTCACAGCAAAAGTTAAAAAAGCTATTAATAATAGGAATAGAGCTTGTACAAATCAGGAGCGGACTGACGGGGTCAGTAGGGGGCCCATGAGATGCCCCTGGTACCTTTTTCATAGCCTTTTTTGAGCTTGGGCAAGAACACAGGGGCCCCATGATCCTCTATTGCCTGGGGGCCCCATGAGTTGTCAGTCCGCCCCTGGTACAAATATAACAATGAAGGAACACTATCATCATTTAATTGTTAAAAGGAATTTAACAGAATATGTAAGAAGGAAATCAGCGCCGCAAACATTCAAAACGAGCTACAGATTGCAAAAGATAGTAGGACAAACCCCCAAACATTCTTCAAATATATTAATAGTAAAAAGGTCAGGTCTGAGCATGTAGGCTCTTTACAAAATAATCTAGAGTGGGTGACTGGGGACAAAGAGACGGCAAATGTATTAAATACTTTCTTTAGCTCTGTGTATACAAAGGAGCATGATGGAGCTCATGTCCATAATGGGCATGCCATTGACACAGCTGCAAATGATCCACAATGGCTCAAAAGTGATATGGTCCAGATATATTTAGACAGAACAAAAGTGAATGAAGCACCTGGACCAGATGGCACCCGGGTCCTTAACTAGTTGCCGACCGCAGATAGCCGAATGACGGCTGCACTGTGGCCAGCCAGTTCTGGGTGGACGTCATATGACGTCCCCCCAGAACGCACTCTCCTGCGCGCCCCAGGGGGCGCGCACCCGGCGATCTCCGTGATCGCTGTGTCCTACGGACACAGCTGATCACGAGATGTGGTAAAAGGCCAATCATACCGGCCTTTTACCACGTGATCAGCGGTGTCCAATGACACGCTGATCACAGGGAAATGCAAGTGCCGGTTCTAGGCTGCACTTTCCTCACGCTGTCAGATCGTGAGGAAAGTACTGCCGAAAACCGGCAGTTGTCAGAGCGAGGATCGGCACCGATCATCAGGGCACTGATGATCAGTGCCCTGATGATCGGTGCCCAGCAGTGCCACCCACAAGTTCCGCCCACCTGTGCCCTGCAGTGCGCCCACTAGCTCCGCCCACCTGTGCCCAGCAGATCACCCACCTGTGCCCAGCAGTGCACCCACCTGTGCCACTCTGCAGTGTCACACACCTGTGCCCAGAAGTGCCACCTACCTGTGCCTAGCAGTGCCACCCACCTGTGCCCACCCCCTGTGCCCACCAGTGCCACCCACCTGTGCCCACCCACCAGTGCCACCCACCAGTGCAGCCCAGCAGTGCTGCCAGTCAGTGCCCAGCGGTTGTGCCAGTCAGTGCCACCAGTCAGTGCCCAGAAGTGATGCCAGTCAGTGCCGTCTATCAGTACCCATCATCAGTGTCACCTATCAGTGCCGCCTATCAGTGCTGCATATTAGTGCCGCCTATCCGTGACACCTCATTAGTGCTGCCTATCAGTGCCGTATCCGTGCCACCTCATTAGTACTGCCTATCAGTGCCCTTTAGTGCTGCCTATCAGTGCCCATCAGTGCCGCCTATCAGTGCCCATCAGTGCTGCCTCATCAACGCACATCAGTGAAGGAGAAAAATTACCTGTTTGAAAAATTTTATAATAGAAACAAAGAAACTTTTTTATTTTTTTCAAATTTTTTGCACTTTTTTAATTTATAGCGCAAAAAGTAAAGCGCCCAGTGGCGATTAAATACCACCAAAAGAAAGCTCTATTTGTGAGAAAAAATGATCAAAATTTCATATGGGTACAATGTTGCATGACCGCGCAATTGTCAATCAAAGTGCGGCAGCGCTGAAAGCTGAAAATTGGCCTGGTAAATAAGGGGGTATAAGTGCCTGGTAGGCAAGTGGTTAAAGAATTGAGCTCTGTAATTTCAAAGCCTTTTTTTTTATTTTTAAGGACTCTTTAATGACTGGCATAGTACCACTGGATTGGCGTAAGGCCAATGTGTATCTATATTTAAAAAGCGGCCAAAGTCTTTGCCAAGTAACTATATAAATATATAGTAAATTTATAAAAAATTTTGAAAACCATTTATTATTTTTCTTTCACTTCACAATTATGTGCCAATTTGTGTTGGTCTATCACATAAAATCCCAATAACATATATTTACGTTTTTGCTTGTAATATGACAAAATGTGGAAAATTTCAAGGGGTATGAATACTTTTTCAAGGCACTGTATATTGCTACAAGGCAACGTACCGTAAATGGAAATACATCAGTATCAGAGAGCAGGTAGAGAAACTGCATGCAGGAAACTGACCTAAGACTAGGTGATAGCCTAGTAATTTAGTCTAATTCACTGCGATAATAAGGCAATAACAACATTCACAATAAACAATATAAAGAGCAAGCAGGTTTAACAGTGAATAAGATCAACAGTAATAAAGAAAATTCACAGTAGCTCCTCTTCATTCAACAGTCAATAGGTGTCTCAGATTTTCCTATGAATTTAGATTTTGTATATCCTTAGAGGGGTACTCTTGGGGGGCAGTTGTTGAGGATCTTGACCTGTAAACTTCAGCCTACTAAATGGTGGGGCCTAGTCTGTAGGATGGTGCACTTAATTACCATCTACTTGGCTCTGCATACAATGGTTAAGGCTCCTAGTATACATTAGTCTCCTGTCTTGATCTGTAAGCAGTGGTAATAATCACACACAGCAGTGGCTCACCAGTCCTGGCAATAAAGTGAACCTTGTTCTGAACACTTGTCTGCCTGCCTGCCTGCCATCCCTCTGACTCTGCTTTAAGAGCACTCCAGTCCTCAGTAATCCATTCCTTTAGTTCTCAGGAGCTCAGTCCCACACTCTGGTCCTCAGGCCACCCCTGTGCCTCTGAGTGGAGTTTATACACACACACTCAGAGGCACAGGGGTGTGCACCACTCCTGTTCACAGTAGAAAGTGACCTATCTCTCCCTCAGAAACCCAGGAAACTCACTCATCTCTGCTCCTCTGACAGGGTGTTTTTGGGCCTTGTAGTTCACAGCCTCATCCTCTCTCTAATGACAAAGTCTCGCTGGAGATACTCCATTTCCCACGGTTCACTGTGGCTGCATCATCCAGTCCTTAATCCTTGTGGGTATTGCTGATGCTGTGGAGCCAGGAAGGGGGGGGGGGAATTGGCAGAGGATTATACAGAGACATTCTAACAAAAGCACAAAAGCCCAAGCGCTTGGCTACATGTGTGAAGGTCAGCAATCCACAGTAACCATCAGAATTAATTTTGATGAAATCTGATGAATTCTGCTTTATCGTCATGGACATTTTGTCCTTTGCTCTTTGCTTTATTAAATAAGCCTGCAAATATACATCAGGTAAATGAAGCATACAAGTGTATAATCATCAGATGTGCTAGTAGAGCCATTGTTCTGTTCTATGAGCAGTATATTGTTTTAGTGGTTATCAGGGTAGAGTGCTGGAATCCAGGGCTTGCTTTTTACCAGAAATTCAACCTGCATGGTGTTCATATGTTCTCTCCATGTCTATGTGGGTTTCTTTCTGGTACCCTTGTTTCCTCTCACATTCAAAACATGCTGGTAAGATAATTGCCTTGGAATTTTTCACCCATCAACATTCAAAAAGAAAAGCACAAGAGTGGTCTATATAAAAAAAAATGTTTAGCAGTTTAAAATACTGTATATTAAGTTTAAAACAATGTGTAAAACTAAATGTGACCCTAAACCATTTTCTCCTGAGAAAAACTAGTGTATATTTGTGATCTACTGTACTGATGTATTTACTGTGTTTTCCCCCATTTCGGGATTTACAAGAATGTGCCATAAAATGTTTTCATGTTGTTTTAATAAACGTAATACAGAGAGTTGTATGTTTTCATGTTTTTCAGAAGCCTCCAACATCCAAACATTCTGCAATGCCTGGGACTGTGCACAGAGACCATCCCTTTTCTCCTTATCATGGAGTTCTGTCAGCTGGTAAGCCCAAAGCATACACTCATTCTAAATGGTTGGAGAATCGTTGCCCTTTTGGGAGTTCAACTGTGATTGCATTTTACATGTGAACTGTGATGTAATTATTAATACATTGGCCCTAACTACTCTCCCTCAACCTCCTTATGCCATTAATAGCTCCCACTACAGATGAGATCAGTAGGTTACCTGAACCATAGAGCCAGGATCTTCAGTGGTTTGGGTGGTGATGTAGGGAGATGCTAAGCCCTGCACATGCAGTGCCTTTTCTTCATGGGCAATAATGAAGAAGCCACCCCCTTACAGGCTTGCAAGTACATGGCTTCTCCATTAGCATCTACAGAGAAAAGGGGACATGCTGTAGTCCAGAAGACTCATAGATACTACGTCTGTAATGGGGGCTCTTAAGAGTATGGAGGGCAACTAGGGTCCATATTTCTGAAACCGGAGAAGAAAATAAAACCACTAAACCTAGTTAATAGCTGGTAGCCAGCAGCATAAACTGTCTTCCTGTTCTTGCTAGAATTTGTCCCACCTTTGCTGCCTAAAGTCTACTGTGGTTTATCTACTCCTACATAACAGAGATTAGGCACTAACCATCTCTCCCTAATCAAGTGATAGGTATGTTCTGATTTATGTCATCAGCTGTCTGCTACTGCTTTTGCAATTTAACTTTCACAAGAGAGTTTTATGAAAATAAAAAAAGCTTGATTCTATAGTTTATGGTTTAATTGGTAACCATCAATATATATTTTATTTAACAACAGTGCACATATATTTAAACACTGTTTTCTAAACATTGCATTCATTATTCTTATCCTCAGTCATTATACTCATGATTTCTTATGTTATTCCCCTTTGACCAACATCTGCCCCACTCCAGCCACAGTATTTCTATTTTTTCACAGAAGCTAGCTGGGCCATGCATTTGAATATGCAGATAGAACATGGAATCTAAGGGCATTTGGTCTTCACTAGAGCTTTAGATGGTAGAGATGGGCCTGGGACACTAATGGTACTGGTTTATTTTGCGGCAGACTGACACCAGGTCATGTTCCTCAGGATTGCCTCACCAAGAGGGTGGCTAAAATGGAAAGCTTATGGTACCAAGACTGTTCAGAGGGCTGCAGAAGAGAAAACAGCCAGGTCCAGGCAGGCGTGGAGGAAGGAGAAAGGCAAAAGAGTAGTTCAAGCAGGTATATACAGGCAGCAAGCAATAATGTAGTGAGGTCCCAGCAGAGGTCTCGGCAGGCAGCAAGAAAAACAGCAGTTAGGTCAATCCAGGCTGACAACAAGCAGGCAACTTTGTGCTAATTTGGACTCATATCAAAGTTCCAGTGCCTCTTGGATGCCCTTTTTTCATTGGAGTCAACAAACAGCCAACTGGCACGTAAGTATTATGGATCTTTAGCTCTCAGGTGGCTAACAATAAAACACAAGGACAGCCACTTTAACGTCTAGAGCTTAAATAACCTACTGGTCAGAGACCACACACAACATCGTTATTAGGAACACTGCAAGTGGCAGGGATTTAGCAAGAACCAATGGAAATCCTGACTGGGATTATGTGAATGGAAGCTCTGGTAGAGATTCTGAAAGACCTGGCAGGAATTTTAACAGTAAGGCCACTTTCACATGGGATGGATTCTGTTACGATCAGCAAGAAATCAGCTCACAGGTTCCCTGCTGATAAGAGCAGAGTGGGAGGATGACACATCTGTGTCCGCTCAGTCTCTGCAGAGAAGACACGGAGAGAGCCCGCTCTGCTCTATGGGTGCCTGGGAGTAAACTAACTCTGCTGTCCATTTACACCCTACTATCTCGATACTCCGATCCGATACGCCTATATGGAAGAGGACAGATCTTTTTGTCCATGTCTGCTTGTCCATAGGAATGCATTGACCTTCTGATCAGGTCCGCCTGAAAAGCAGACAGGCAGACCTGATCGGATCGCCCATGTGAAAGAGCCCTAAGAGTTCTAAAAGTCCTGACAAATATTCTGAAAATACTGTTAGGCCTCTTTCATATGAGCCATTGTTCTGCCTCTTGTAAATGCATATTTTTTTATTTTGAAATTCCAACACTCCTAGCACAGAGATCACTCACGTTTGTACATTGCATTTATCTGTGATTCTGTACGTTTACATGCAGCTGCATTTAGCTACGGTAGTAAATTCTTGCCTTTTCTAATGCAACTGTTTACTTATTTTCTTTTGTACTGTGATTAACTGTGTTTATGTACAGATAGCTGCGGTACATCGCTCCTGGACGCTGTCAACTTTACTTTTCCTAAACACAAAAAAAAGAATGTTAGGAAAACATTGCTAAACGCATAGTTGCCAACATTTAAAAAAAATGTTATGGACACTTTTATTCATTGTATGTCCAGAAAGCCAGCGTAGGCTGAGCAAAATGTAAATTATGGGTGGGGTATCAATTGTGGGTGTAGCCTGGAGATAAAAGTATAAATTGGTGTTGCTTAAATTACTAAATATTGGGCATGCCTTAAAGGGGGTGTGGTTAAATAGAGTCTGAGATTTTCTTGGGCTCCCCCATACAATTATGCTCTCCACCCCAACAGCCCAAAAAACAAATAAACACACACACAGACTTATCTTAAAAAACCTTTAATAACATAAACATAAAGAACTGGTCCACACTCACTGATTGGTTGCTAGAGGTTACTGCCATTAGTACAGGGAAGGGTCAGAGACTGCAGACATGGCACAAGGTCAGAGTACAGTATGCTCTACAAATATTACAGATGCTCCACCATAAATATTACAGTATGCTTCACCATAAATATCACAATATGCTCCACCATAAATATCACAGATGCTCCACCATAACTATTACAGATGCTCCATCATAAATATTACAGTATGCTCCACCATAGATGTCACAGATGCTCTACCATAAATATCACAGTATGCTCATCCATAAATATCACAGGATGCTCCACCATAAATATCACAACATGCTCCATCATAAATATCACAACATGCACCACCATACTGCACCCCCTACACACACACAAACTCTGCAACACACACACATACACAAAACTCTTTCTCTCTCTCTCTCTCTTTCTCTCTCTCACAACTCATCTCTGCTACATTCTGATGTAATTAGTTCCTCTAATCTTTCCACATAGCTGAGCTCCTCCATGCCTCTTATCAGTTTGGTTGCACTTCTCTGTACTTTCTCCACTTCCCCAATGTTCTTTTTATGAGTTGGTACCCAAAACTGAACTGCATATTCCAGATGAGGTCTTACTAATGATTTGTAACAGGGTAAAATGATATCTCTCTCTCTGGAGTCTATACCTCTTTTAATACAAGAGAGGATTTTGCTCGCTTTAGAAACCGCAGCTTGGCATTGCATGCCATTATTAAGCTTGTGATCTACCAGAACTCCCAGATCCTTCTCCACCATTGATTCCCCCAGTTGTACCCCCCCCAGTATGTATGATGCATGCATATTCTTAGCCCCCAAGTGCATAACCTTACATTTATCAACATTAAACCTCATTTGCCACATAGTTGCCCAATTACACAGTGCATTGAGGTCGGCTTGTAAGTTGAAGACATCCTGTAAGGACGTTATTCCACTGCACAGCTTGGTGTCATCTGCAAAGACTGAAATGAGATTTATAATCCCAGACCCTATATCAATTATAAATGTATTAAAATGTAAGGGTCCCAACACTGAACCTTGTGGTACACCACTGACAACCCTAGACCATTCAGAGTATGAATCGTTAACCACTACTCTCTGAATATGATCTTTTAGCCAGTTTTCTATCCATTTACATACAGATTTTTCCAAGCCTGTAGACTTTACCTTACACATTAGCCATGTGTGAGAAACTGTGTCAAACGCTTTTTCAAAATCCAAGTACACCACATCCACCGCCACCCCTCTGTCCAAGGGTTTGCTCACCTCCTCATAAAAAGAAATCAGATTTGTTTGACAATTTCTGTCTTTCATGAATCCATGCTGTCTGTTGCTTAAAATATTTTTTTTCCAGCAAGTACTCATCTATGTGGACTTTTATTAAACTCTCCAGTATCTTCCCAACTATAGACGTTAAACTAACAGGTCTATAATTACTTGGTAAAGGTTTTGATCACTTTTTAACAATAGGCACCGTATTGGTCTTACACCAATCCAGTGGTACTATGCCAGTCATTAAAGAGTGTTTTTCAGTGCATTTTTTGTGAGTTGCCAGTTCAATTTTGGAATAATGTTTTCATTTATTTTTATTAGGTTGCATTGAAACATGTTTGCATGCTTTCATTGGCGCTTGCCCTGTGTTTACGGTGAGGAAAAATGTAGCGTGCTGTACTTTTTTTTAACGCACATGAAAGCACTGCAGTGATGTAAAGTAGGCACATTTGAATGGATTCTTGCATATGCATTTTTACTGCATTTAAAATGCACCTGGCTGCATCTGGTGTAAACGAGCCCTAGAGTGTAATTGGTAGGTTTGCAAATACACTGCTCAAAAAAATTAAAGAAACACTTTTTAATTAGAGTATAGCATCAAGTCAATTAAACTCCCATGATATTGATCTGGTCAGTTAAGTAGCAGAGGGGGTTGTTAATCAGTTTCAGCTGCTTTGGTGTTAATGAAATTAACAACAGATGCACTAAATGGACAACAATGAGACGACCCCCAAAACAGGAATGTTTTACAGGTGGAGGCCACTGACATTTTTTTCCCTACTCATCTTTTCTGACTGTTTTTCACTACTTTTGCATTTGGTTAGAGTCTGTGTCACTACTGGTAGAATGAGGCGATACCTGGACCCTACAGAGGTTGCACGGGCAGTCCAACTCCTCCAAGATGGCACATCAATACCTGCCATTGCCAGAAGGTTTACTGTGTCTCCCAACACAGTCTCAAGAGCATGGAGGAGAGTCCAGGAGACAGACAGTTACTCTAGGAGAGCTGGACAGGGCCGTAGAAGGTCCTTAACCCATCAGCAGGACCGGTATCTACTCCTTTGTGCAAGGAGGAACAGGATAAGCACTGCCAGAGCCCTACAAAATGACCTCAAGCAGGCCACTGGTTTGGATGTCTCTGACCAAATAATCAGAAACAAACTTCGTGAGGTTGTCCTAAAGGGGCCCGATGTCCTCTAGTATGCTCACTGCCCAGGACCATAGAGCTTGATTGGCATTTGCCATTGAAAACCAGAATTGGCAGGTCCTCCACTGGCACCCTGTGCTTTTCACAGATGAGAGCAGGTTCACCCTGAGCACATGTGACAGATGTGACAGACCTGGACACTACAGAGGTTGCACAGGTAGTCCAACTCCGCCAGGATGGCACATCAATACGTGCCATTGCCAGAAGGTTTGCTGTGTCTCCCAGCACAGTCTCAAGAGCATGGAGGAGATTTCAGGAGACAGTCAGTTACTCTAGGAGAGATGGACAGGGCCGTAGAAGGCGCTTAACTCATCAGCAGGACTGGTATCTGCTCCTTTGTGAACAGAATGAGCTCTGCCAGAGCCCTACAAAATGACCTTCAGCAGGCCACTGGTTTGAATATCTCTGACCAAACAGATTTCATGAGGGTGGCCTGAGAGCCCGACATCCTCTACCCTGATCACATGTGACAGACATGAAAGGGTCTGGAGAAGCTGTGGAGAACATTATGTTGCCTGTTGTTCAGCATGACCGTTTTGGTGGTGGGTCATTGATGGTCTGGGGAGGCATATCCATGGAGGGAAGCACAGACCTCTGCATGCTAAAAAATGGCACCCTGACTGCCAATAGGTATCGGGATGAAATCCTTGGACCCATTGTCAGACCCTATGCTGGTGCAGTGGGTCTTGGGTTCATCCAGGTGCACGACAATGCTCGGCGAGAGTATGCAGTCAGTTCCTGGAGGATGAATGAATTGATACCATTGAATGGCCCCCATGCTCGCCTGACCTAAATCTAATAGAACACCTCTGGGATATCATGTTTCAGTCCTTCCAATGCCACCAGATTGCATCTCAGACTGTTCAGGAGCTCAATGATGCTCTGATCAAGATCTGGGAGGAAATACCCCAGGACACCATATGTCGGCTCATTAGGAGCATGCCCCGACATTGTCAGGCATGCATACAAGCACGTGGGGAACATACACACTACTGAGTACCATTTTGAGTTGCTGCAATGATATTTCAGCAAAATGGACTAGCCTGCTGCATCGCTTTTTCACTTTGATTTTTAGGGTATCTTTGAATTCAGTCCTCTGTAGGTTGATCATTTTCATTTCCATCAAACGATGGGGCATCCTTACATTCCTAACACATTACCCAGTCCATATCAGTATAAATATCCAGCATATTTTTCCCCAATAAGATCTGATGTGTTTTCAAACTGTTCCTTTATTTTTTTCAGCAGTGCATATTTAGGGTGTATATATAAATATATGCTGCAAATAGTGTCAAGTAGCTTATGTGTAAAAACATCTTAGTCATATGCTAACAAGGTCTTTGCTGTGATGAACTTCCTGACTGGCTGGGCCTGTGATAACTTTGTTGTCAGGGTTATAAAGCATTGTCTGACTGTACACAATGGAAACAGATGTAGGGAATTTTTCTTCAAAGAAATCTGTTTGGTTAATTGCCATGCCAGAGGATGCATTTGATTATTTTATTTCATCTGACATCAAAGCAATCAGCAGATAAGCCAATCAGAAACACTTTCAGCATTATTAACTGATATTAATCTGTATATCAACGGGAAGATTTAACTGCTAGGATGAAAGAATGATGAGAAGTGTAGCCAGGTGCTTGGCTAAGAATAAGAGTGAAAGAGAGACTGGCTGCAGCTGCTCTATGTAGCTGTTGCCCTGTGGTGCTGAACTGGTTACCAGCTATTTCACCAAGAGGTGGGAGCTGCTGAGCAGGAAGAGTTGAATAGATGGAGTCAGGCAGCACTGCACTGTTGGAGCTGTAGTCCAGAGGAGAGAGACTCTACTATGTAATCAAGAGCTTTTTGAATTACATTCCCCAAAAAAGATTGCCAGGAGGAGGTGAAAGAGCTGCATTTTCCCAAGACTGGAGAGTGCACATCACTGTCCTGTGTGCACCACCACTGCTGCGTATCTGTGACCTAAGCTGGATTGCTGAGTTTGTGGGTGCCAACAGACAGTGCCACCTTGGTGCAGAGCAGACAAGTGTACCTGCAGCTTTCCTGCGCTTTGGCATATATTTCTATTATAACTTGAGGGTGTATAAGACAAAATGGCAGTTGTAGAGATATGATCCACTCCAAAAGTCTACAGATAAGGAATTGCATTGCTATTTTTGTTCCTTGCTTCTCCGCATGCTCAACTTACCACAATTCAATGTTCTTCTTTTTCTCACTTTAGGGGGACCTGAAACGTTATCTGAGAGCCCAGCGGAAGGCAGATGGAATGACACCAGACCTTTTGACCTGTGACCTTACAACCTTACAGAGAATGGCATATGAAATTACACTTGGACTCATGCACCTTCATAAAAATAATTATATCCACAGGTACACCACTGCCTTATTTTTTTTCTATACAACACACACATCATTCAATGCTTTAGCATTTTCTTTAAAGATAAACTTTTTCTATAGATATGCTTTATGGACTAATTGTGTTTCATGAGATGATTATTGTAGCAAAAATGGATGGAGAAGAGAATAGGGGCAGGAAATCACTGACCCACGTGAAATGGAATATTACTGAAATTAAACAGCAGAAATCAGGAGATTATAAAACATTCATCCAGGAGTTACGGCATGTGGAATGTTCTTATAACACATCCTTACAGCTCATTAAAATGTTCAAGAGAGTCAGTAATTGGTACAAAAAAAATCTAACTGGGTGGCTCTTTATCTTTTTCATGATCTTTAAAATGTACATGTCAAGGTTTGCACAGTGACAGTCTCTGTAAAAACCTTGTGATATATTATAAACGGTGACAATAGTCAGTGTCACAATGGGTGTGGCAGATTATAATCTGTAATATTAGCTAGTTGCTGGGGATATTGAAACTGCTTAGTAAACATGTCTGTGGGAAGGAAATGGACATCGATGGGGATATTGACACTAGTTAGTGAACTATGTCTGTGGCTAGGACATGGACACTGCTGGGGATGTGGACACTGATTAGCAAGGATTGTCTGTGGGCAGGATATGGACACTGGTGGGGATGTGGATGTGGGAGTGTAGGTAGTTCTCATTCAGAAATATCTCTGGAGGTTGTGTGGACACTGGAAAGTGAACAAACTCTGTACATCAATTTTTGTAAACCTTAGATTCCAAGGCAACTGTTACACTATATTGACAAAAGTATTGGGACACCCTCCAAATCATTGGATTCAGGTCTTCCAATCACCTCCATGTCCACACGTGTATAAAATCAAGCACCTAGGCATGCAGACTGCTTCTACAAACATTTGTGAAAGAATGGGTTGCTCTCAGGAGCTCGGTGAATTCAAGTGTGGTACCGTGATAGGTTGCCACCTGTGCAATAAGTCCATCCGTGACATTTCCTTGCTACTAAATATTCCAGGGTCAACTGTTAGTGGTATAATAACAAAGTGGAAGCATTTGGGAATAACAGCAACTCGCCCACGAAGTGGTAAGCAATGTAATATGACAGAGCAGGGTCAGCGCATGCTGAAGCACACACTGCACAGAAGTTGCCAATTGCCTACAGAGTCAATAGCTAAAGACCTCCAAACTTCATGCGGCCTTCAGATTAGCACAACAAGTGCGTAGAGCGCTTCATGGAATGTGTTTCCATGGCTGAGCAGCTGCATCCAATCCTTACATCACCAAGTGCAATGCAAAGCGTTGGGTGCAGTGGTGTAAAGCACGCCACCACTGGACTCTAGAGCAGTGGAGACATGTTCTCTGGAGTGACGAATCATGCTTCTCTGTCTAGACATGTCTGGATTTGGCGGATTGCCAGGAGAACAGTACTTGCCTGACTGCATTGTGCCAAGTGTAAAGTTTGGTTTGGGGGGTATTATGATGTGGGGATTGTTATTCATGGTTTTGGCTTGACCCCCTAGTTCCAGTGAAGGGAACTCTTAAGGCGTCAGCATACCAAGACATGTTGGACAATTTCATGCTCCCAGCTTTGTGGAAACAGTTTGGGTTCCAACATGACTGTGCCCCAGTGCACAAAGCAAGGTTCATAAAGACATAGATGAGTAAGTTTGGGGTGGAGGAACTTGACTGGCCTGCACAGTCCTGGTCCTGACCTCAACCTGAAAGAACACCTTTGGGATGAATTAGAGCGGAGACTGTGAGCCAGGCCTTCTCGCCCACATCAGTGCCTGCCTCCCAAATGTGCTTCTGGAAGAATGGTCAAACATTCCCATAGACACACTCCTAAACCTTGTGGACAGCCTTCCCAGAAGAGTTGAAGCTGTTATAGCTGCAAAGGGTGGGCCAACTCAATTTTAAATCCTACAGACTAAGACTGGGATGCCATTAAAGTTTATGTGCGTGTAAAGGCAGGCATCCCAACACTTTTGGCAATATAATGTATGTCCAGATAGTCCTATAAGCAATGTTTCAGAAAATAGGGCAGTTTATCACTCTTCCTAAATCTTCCATGTAGCCGTAGTCACAAAAACCTCAACAAATAAAACTCTAATGTGCTTCACTTATAGAAAATGCCTAAAAAATATCTCCATGCTGTCCTTAGCAACTAATTCCAACTCTCTTATTACTGTAAGTTTGACTCCAATTGGTTTCTATGTACTTTTAATGTACACAGATTTCATAGACAGGTCAAATGTTCTTCCACCACCTAAATTGTAGCAGGCACTGTTATATAGCTCACTCCTTCAGTATTGGCACATCAGCACTGTTTGTTCCTAGTGCACACCAGCAGTTATGCAGGTTGTCTCTACAACACACACATATATCCTCCATTTTATCCCTTTAAAGGACCTGCAAGTACAGTAAAATACTACTTGACCAGCCAATAACACACTCAGATCTTAAGCCCTGTTGTGGGCAGTCAACACACAGCATTTTCGAGGACTAAGTGTTGTCAGCCCTACCCCTTGTCCTTTGATATGCTACTCAGCTACTCCCATTTTCAGATCTGTAGAGCATAAAGGCTACCAATTCTGTAGTACAAAATAAGGAGACTTTTTGAGAAAACACAGGAAGTATGCAGGGGACACAAGACAGCCCTGAATTTCTGCACTTATTAAGCAAATAGTGCAAAGTGCTTCCAATGGTATATTAAACCACTGGAAGCATTTCACTCTATCTGCTTGCTCTCCAAAAGGCAACAAATAAGGAAACTTTAATGATGGGATTTACATATACTTTAAAGGTTACAGAAGGACACTACAATAGTCTGTACTGACATTATAAAATATATCTCTTCATATTAATACCATAGTGATTAATAGGTTTGTGGGTAGAATTGAGTTAAAATGTACAAAGTTAGATGGGAAATCTTCACAAAATGATGCACCTTTCTCATCTACATAACTAGGGGTCTGTTGAATACACAATGCCCCTCTTGCATTGTTGATATGATATCTAAAGCTAGCCAGAGACATGCAGAATTACATTCCTTACTGAAACATAAAGGTCCTTATCAGAAAAAAGCATATATATGTATGTATTCATTTGATACCCCCATTGAGAAGTATCTTAAAGGGACAATGACAACTGGCAGGAAAATAAAACCCATTTGATTGGCTGTACCCTCAAAAAAAAAGACCTGTGTATGGTGATCAACTGCAGGTATAAGATGTCTGTGATATTTGTGGCTTGAGCGCTGCAAAGTAGAAAGCTGCTTGCACTGTAATGTTCTCCCTTTATGGGAGTAATTTGTTCAGATTTTTTCTGTTTTAGCAGACACAGTCTATTTTTGTCTGCAGGTGCAGATAATTGTCTTCCTTACAGAATTTTCTTTTTGTTGTATTTGCAGTGATCTTGCCCTAAGAAACTGCCTTCTTACCTCTGATCTGACTGTCCGAATTGGAGACTATGGCATTTCTCACAATAATTACAAGGTATGAGCAGCCTGAAATGCTTTAGAATAAACCAAGATGGAAAGAAGGCTGTGTGTTTATTTCAGTAGAGTTGTTTGTTCATTTTTACTTCCCTTCCCTCCATCAATCTGTCATTGGTAGGGGGTCCAAGACTAATGGCTGCTCCATTGGCAATGTTGGTAGCAAACATGCACACAGCACTCCACTTAATAACAGACTAGAATTTGAGAAGTGATATAAGCATGTTGGCTTTTCCTACCTATGTGAATGATAATGCCCTTTTTACAATGTCCACCACAGTTTGTCACCAACCCTACTGTGAACTATCATTACATAGACCTAGAATGTGCTATTAGAAAACTTTGAAATGGAACTATCATTTACCATCATACTTAACATAAATTGATAGAAAATAAATCTAAACTAAATCCTATTATTACATTGAGTAAATAGATCCATTTTCCAAAATATACCAATAAATGTTGCTGTTTATTACCACAAACGGTACATTGTTTTCAGTGGATGGGTGAAAATACATCCGCTGTGTACACAGATTACAAGCCATACATAGAAATAGGGATTTTATTAATATTAGCCCAAATCATGTATGGTTCTTTATATCAGTCTTCCCCAAAGTGACATTTCAATCATAGGTATTTGATGTGTTAAAGAACAACTTAATTCAAGAACAAAAATGTAATCTATTGCAGTTTACAATCCTTAGATGAGGTGTTTGCATTATATTTCTTTTTTTAAGCTAAGAACATTTTCAGCAAATACCAAAAATACCCGTTGATCTTGCCAGAAATACAGGGGTTTATTGACCAAAGCTGGATAGTGCAAAATCAGGCTCACTTCTGAATAGAAACCAATCAGATTCCAGGTTACAGCCAAAGCTTAATTAAACAAGCTGAAGCTGATTGGTTTCTTTGCAGAAGTGAGCCTGATTTTGCACTCTGCAGCTTTAGTAAATAAACCCCACTTCCTGGGAGCTGCACTGAAGAATATCTTCCTTCCTAGCTCTCTGGTGTACACTACCAATTGCCCTTCCCTCCATGTAATGGAGATGAAGAGGTGCAAACATATTTGTAGTCCATTTCAAGAGAGCAACATAGGATGACCAACCATGGCTCCCATAGATACAATGGAGGACTGATGTAGCCACCCAGGAATAGGAGTTGTGTTATTTGCACGATTACCAAAAAAAGAAGATTGAAAAAAAAGAGAACAAATGGAGCCACCACACCAAGAACTAGTAAGCTGCAATGTGTTACATTTTTGGTTTGGGGTTTATGTACACTTTAAGTCATGGTTTAGAATCTTATATCTCCCGGGGAGCTCCAGAGATGACGTCTCCCAGCCATAATTTTGGTTCTATTCCTTGTTCCCATCTACTACAGACTGTACTCACTCACCCTGTTCCATAGCATATATTAAATAAAAAGTTTGAAAAGAAGAGTAGGATGCAATTGTAATGGCAGTGGCAGGTGTGTACGCCTAAAAACCTAAGGCACAGTTGCGGGTTTGCGGCCCGCGTTTGCATGGGTATGGCAGCTGATTCATTTGAATTGGCTGCTGTGCCTGCGTTTCACACAGGAAAAGGTTCTTGCAGCATTTTGAAACCACAGCCACCAGGAAATCGCATGGTACTTCTGTATCATGCGATCTACCTGCTTTCCCACATGGAAGAAAAATATATTTGAAATATATTTTAAAAATATTCTTCCCAAATATATTGCCGTATATTTGAAATGCTTAAATTTTGGCCATATTCAATATATTAAAAAAAAAAATATATATATATATATATATAATTTTTTTTTTTTTTTTTTTTTGCATGTTGCCATGCGTTTTTATTACAAAATATATGAAAAATATTTTTAAAAATACATTTCAACTATACTCTATCTCTTTGAAAATACAAATCTAAATTTTTGGAATGCATTTACAAATACCATATTTGTAAAAATATATGTTAAAAAGACTTTTTTATATGTTACAAAAAAATCTGAATATATTTTTAAAAATATATATTTAAAAAAAAAATACATTTTTTAAATATATTCTTCATATATTTTTATTCCATATGGGTTTCCCGCACACACTGCAGTTTTAGATGCGTGGGGGTGCCATTAAGATTGAGTGGCAGCCCTGTGCATCTTTAGAGCAGCGCATTTTGGCTGCGAGTGGTTGCGGGAACAGCTGTAATTGGCTGCCTCCGACAGTGTGGGGTTTATTTACTAAAGCTGGGAGTCCAAAATCAGACTCCCTTCTGCATAGAAACCAATCAGCTTCCATTCATTGCCAAAGCTTCATTGAACAAGCCTGATTGGTTTCTATGCAGAAGGGAGTCTGATTTTGGACTCTCCACTTTAGTGTGAGTCTAGCCTTAGTGTGGAGATTTTAACACCAGAGCTAAATACTCTAGCATCCAACAAACACTGAAATGTGCATTTTAAATGGACTGACTATATAAATTGATTTTTTTATTCTTTTTTTTTCTTTTTTTATGTATAGCTAACAAAATTTTAATGAATTAGCAAACACACTCATTTTCCTGAATCGGTAAATTAGGCTAATGTTTTTGGCCCAATTGATTCATAACCTACTGAGCATTACTGCCTAATCAGTCAATATTTTAACTGAAGACATATTTGGTTACGTGTGCCATCTCGCTTAAAGCAGATTTGGGGGGATGATAGAGTGGAAGGTGATATCGGTGGTAGTGAGGGGGTTCAGGATTTTTAGGGGAAACAAGCAGAGTGGGAGTTGACTGTGGAAAGTTAGGGGGTGAGGAAAAAGAGAAGATAGAGTGACAGGTGATCATGGACCAGGAGGGAGATAGAGATAGTGGAATGAGAAATGCAACTACAGGTGTACCTCGGTTTTCGAACACCTCCGTTAACGTAATTTTCGGTTTACAAATGAAAGTTCATTGAAAATAATGCTTCGGTTTACCAATTTTTTTCACAATATGAAGCAAGTTTCCCAGGATGCATTGCGCCTGGGAGGTTTATAGTGCCGGGCCCATGCCTTTAAAGTGCATTTTATAAAGAGTTTTGAACAGATAAGACTTTTTATAACTTTTTTCTGACCTCCAGAACAGATTAATTGGTTTTCAATGCATTTACAATTTTTTTTCGCAATACGAAGCAAGTTTCTCCAGGAATTGCGCCTGGAATGTTTATAGCGCCGGCCCCGTGCATGCTGGAGTCTGTGGATAGCACATGGCGTCGAGTGTGGAGGTGTTGGAGCAGTTTTGGAGCCATTCTGGAAATTTTTAATCATGTCCCTGTACAGTATTTATGCCGTTAAAGTGCACTTTATAAAGAGTTTTGAACAGATAAAATACTTTTTTTTTTAAACTTTTTGCTGACCTCCGGAACGGATTCATTGGTTTTCAATGCATTCCTATGGGAAACTGCGTTTCGGTTTACGAATTCTTCGCAATACGAAACGTCCCAGAAAACACATTAAATTCATAACAAGGTATGCCTGTACTTGTGGACCAAGAAGACATAGAAAGAGAGAGTATAAGCTGATCATTGGAAGGGGGGCATGCAAGGGAGTGATGACAGCAGAACATTGAACATTTCCATGGCAACAGGGGCAATTACTCAGCTACCGTAGCAATGGGGCAGATCCTGAGTGGGATTTCTCTTTGCTGCCTCATTCCTCTGTTATCTGCATGAGTCACTTCTGACAGCTTTTCCTGACACCGAGAGAAAAAATGTTGACAAGGGAGGACAGCTCCAGAACACAGCCTGTGACGGATAGCCACAGTTCTGCATGTTCTTCTCTACTGTATGAAGGGGGTGTGCATCTTCCCTCCAATCAGGGCTCGGAGCTCCCCTCCCTGAGATCTGCACTGTGAAACTTCATATCCCCCTGCCTGCTTTGATCTTTGTGGTTTTAGAAAAAGAATAAATGGCTGCAGATAAATAGGTACTACTTATGTCAGAGGATGTGTTTCATCTCTGTGTATCACTTGAGGCCAGTCAGTTCACTGGGTATATATGAGGGTTTTCAACCACTTTAACCCTACTATTTCTGCTAATGTTTTCATATTTAACTCATATGCAGTGGGGTTTATTTACTAAAGCTGGAAAGTGCAAAATCAGGCTTATGTCTGCATAGAAACCAATCAGCTTCTAACCTCAGCTTGTTCAATTAAGCTTTGGCAATAAAACCCGAGAGCTGGTTGGATTCTATACAGAAGTGACCTGATTTTACACTCTCCAGCTTTAGTAAATAAACCCCAGTGTGTTCATGGTTCAGTTATACAGGAATACATGGATCAGTAGGAGATAATGCCACTTGTACATGCACAATAAGAGGGGCTCTCGATCCAGGAAAACAGAGAAAGCTGCTAGTTGACAGTGAGCATTCCGCCCCCCCCCCCCCCTTTATACCCGGCCCCACAGTGGCCATAATATCATGTAAACTTCAAGGTGGCTATCCATAAATAACTATTTTATTTTTTATATCCAGGAGGATTACTACATTACTCCAGATCGACTCTGGATCCCATTACGTTGGGTTGCTCCAGAACTTTTAGATGAAGTTCATGGAAACTTAGTTGTGGTAGACCAGAGCAAGGAAAGCAATGTCTGGTGAGTGTCTTGTTCATCACCTTTATCCTGTACTAGATTTGCTTTTTTTTTGTGTTTCTCCAGAGGCAGCTGATCTGTTTATTTTTATACAAGCAGTCTACACTGTTGTAATGCATTATTTACAACATGACACATCACACCGTGCATATTTATTATTTTCACTGGCCTAGAACTGTCGTGATTTCTGAAATTGCAGACAGTATAAAAATAAGCTTGATTCCTATTTTAACATGCAGATCCGCAGATTTCACATTTTAATGGATTAAATGTATCAGGAGAGTAAGACTTCCAGCCTTCTTATGTATATTTGCTTACTCACACCAGGCACATTATTATGTATTTTGTAGGCAAGAGAAAATATATTGTTTCCAGTAGAACCTGTTGCATTTGTTGCAGATATACTGTAGCTTTCTTCCTAAACAATTTGTAATGGACAGTTTTAACCAATCAGAATTTAGACAGTTAATAGACAATAAAAGAGACATCTACTGAGTTCAACCAAAATGATTGAGCACAGTTTTACCACCCCCTTAACTACTAGCCTGAACAGAGGCATGCAGCTGCTCAAGGCCATACACGTGCCACAGCTGTACTATGGGTCAGAAATGGAAAAGCATTTCGTATTCGGTGGCCATTACCGCTGCCAACTGTGACCCATGCAAGTCTATGGGGCATTGTCACAGCCACCACACAACTGCAAGCAATGCACTTAGTTGCACATGGTGATGTGGCATTTACAGGGTTAAATCAGGCAGTAAGGAGACACCTGAATGGCACCTGAGAGACTTGAATATATAGCAAGTGCCAGACAGGCTAGATTTATTTAGTATTTTATGTTTTTTTTCTATGGTAGTGCTAACTATGTTATTTGATCCTAGACATTTTGTCAGTGTTCTTGTTGCTGGAAACTCAATACCACCTCATGTACACAGGGCTGAAAAAAACACACACTGAGAGCACTTGAGCACTCATTCATTCCAATGGTCCTATATACACTGCTCCAAAAAATTAAAGGAACACTGTTTAATCAGAGTATAGCATCAAGTCAATTAAACTCCTAGGATATTGTTCTGGTCGGTTAAGTAGTAGAGGGGGTTGTTAATCAGTTTCAGCTGCTTTGCTGTTAATTAAATTAACAACAGGTGCACTAGATGGGCAACAATGAGATGACCCTCAAAACAGGAATGGTTTTACAGGTGGAGCCCAGTGACATTTTTTTCCCTACTCATCTTTTCTGACTGTTTTTAACTAGTTTTGCATTTGGCTAGGGTCAGTGTCACTACTGGTAGAATGAAGCGATACCTGGACCCTACAGAGCTTGCATGGGCAGTCCAACTCCTCCAAGATGGCGCATCAATACATGCCATTGCCAGAAGGTTTACTGAGTCTCCCAGCACAGTCTTAAGAGCATAGAGAAGATTCCGGGAGACAGACAGTTACTCTAGGAGAGCTGGACAGGGCTGTAGAAGGTTCTTAACCCATCAGCAGGACCAGTATCTGCTCCTTTGTGCAAGGAGGGACAGGATGAGAACTGCCAGAGCCCTACAAAATGACCTCCAGCAGGCCACTGGTGTGAATGTCTCTGACCAAATAATCAGAAACAAACTTCATGAGGGGGGGCCTGAGGACCTGATGTCATCTAGTGGGCCCTGTGCTCACTGCCCGGGACCATAGAGCTTGATTGGCATTTGCCATTGAACACCAGAATTGGCAGGTCTGCCACTGGCACCCTGTGCTTTTCACAGATGAGAGCAGGTTCACCCTGAGGGAAGAACAAAGAGAGGGCGCACAGGCCTAGTGCATTACCATAAAAAATGTTTAATAAGAAATAAAATAGGTGTTGTACTCACAAACGAGAATAAAGTCAAGGCACAATCATAAAAGAACAGCTGGGTCAACACCACGCTGAGTAACAGTCCGCAAATGGGAGTGTAGACATCCAATAGGCTGATGCGTTTCGAGGACTTGCCTCTTCCTCAGAGCCACGACAATGCCTGGCCTCATGTGGCCAGAGTATGCAGGCAGTTCCTGGAAGATGAAGGAATTGATACCATTGGATGGCTCCCATGCTTGCCTGACCTAAATCCAATAGAACACCTCTGGAATATCATGTTTCGGTCCATCCGACGCTGCCAGGTTGCACCTCAGACTGTCCAGGAGCTCAGTGATGCCCTGCTCCAGATCTGGGAGGAAATATCCCAGGACACCATCTGACATCTCATTAGGAGCTTCCCCCAATGTTGTCAAGCATGCATCCAAGCATGTGGGGGCCATACACAATACTGAATACCATTCTGAGTTGCTGCAATGAAACTTCAGCAAAATGGACTTGCCTGCTGCATCATTTTTTCACTGTGATTTTCGAGTGTCTTTGAATTCAGTCCTCTGTAGGTTGATAATTTTCATTTCCATCAAACGATGGGGCATCCTTAGGTTCCTATCTCCTTACCCAGTCCATATCAGTATAGATATCCAGCATGATATTTTTCCCCATTGAGATCTGATGTGTTTTCAAAGTGTTCCTTTAATTGTTTTGAGCAGTGTATATTATTAGTAATATGGTCGATGAAATCCATAAATGGCTTTAGGCACATTTTTTAAGCAGCTTTTTTCCCACAAGAGAAAAGGCTTTTAGGGGAGCAAATTCTCAGTGTGCATGACATCTAAAGCCAGTTGTGGTCAGTTTGAAACCTGATCTGGTGTGTAGACTACTACTCTCTATGCACAAAATCCTATTTGAGGTTGTCTGCCTGAAGAGACAATGAAAGCCAGTTTTCTTTTTTCAGGTTTTTTTTTTCTTTTATTTTTACCTGATGATCCAGCCAGCAACACACTTCCTGTCCTAGGGTGACAACACTCAGTCACTGTACTGTTTATATCTAGAAGCAGAATTGTCACTCTAGGTTGCTCTACAAACACCTCCACCTAATTTTGTTTGCTTAAAGAGGAGTGATTTTGTAGTTCACTGAAGATAGCTGGAAAGCCTAAATCATTGTTTGATCATCTGTACTAGCAGAGAATGTACTCAGCCTTAAAAAAGAAAATGAAACCTATCACATATGCGTGTAGCGCTACCCTCTTGAGGGCCGCTGTGTTTCTAGATCCCCCTAAGCTTCACACAGCCAGGCAACACACATTTCCCACTCTTGTATCCCCAGTCTTTACAGATAAGTACCAAAAGCCCCTTATGGGCTAGGGACTCTGAGCCCCTCTGAAAGTTAGCACAGATTGTTGCAAACCACATGCAAATTTATATGTAACAAAAGTGGTGCTTTAACTCATATACATATAATAATACATATAATAACCAAAATACTTTATAAGAATTGTGATAGTTCAATCAAAATTTAAATAGTGCTTGAAAAGTGTTTGTTCTATACGATGTGCTCCAAAAAGCTGAAACTTATCAGGGACAGTGCTCCACCGTGACTTTGTGCACTTCCACCTAAATATATGGATAGCCGCTCACCTCATACAGTGGACCTTTAAACAGGGGCGGACTGACAACTCATGGGGCCCCCGGGCAGTAGGGGATCATAGGGCCCCTGTGTCCTTGCCCAAACTCAAAAAAGCCTATGAAAAAGGTACCAGGGGCATCTCATGGGGCCCCCTACTGACCCCGGGCCCTCGGGCGGTGCCCAAGTTTCCAAATGGTCAGTCCGTCCCTGCCTATAAATTAATATAGGTCGACCAAACATAGTAATTCCACCAAAAGTGCTTCAGATGGCAGCAAAGAGCTGATTACAGGCACCACCTTAGATGACACTATACACAGAACTCTTCTCAGCTTACACTCCACATGTAGGAAGAAAAGGGGACAGCTACCATAGCATAATACCATTTATTTCAGAAAAAAATGTGTTCCAGAATAACACTCACATGGTATTGAACATAACAGATTGGTTTTTACACAAAACTTCTGGTTCGCAGGTAAATCTGCAATGATGTCACTAGGATCCGCCTCCGCGTTACACCACCAACCATGTGGCTTTGTCAGGGAAACTGACTCTTTGAAGGTCACAATGTACAGGAGTTTGTTGGTGAAATCTTGTTAAAGGACCCATGCTATGCAAATTGAAAAGAAGACTCCTATATTATGATTGACTGTAACTATGTGGCTCTCAGGCCTTCTTTGTACTCTTTTCCAAAATGCACTAATTTATGCTCAGTAATACACAATTCACAGTGTGTTGCAGTTCTATAATTTTTAATGAAATCCTAACACACTTTTCCAGCTTACCCTGATACATGTACATTTCATTGCCTCACATAAGTGAAAAGCCAGCCTCAGTTACAGTATTATTGATTTAAATGGACAAATATATATGACTTAGGCTAGCATGGATATTTTTTTCTAATTTATTTCATACTAAAAAGTTCAAATTCAGCAGAATGTTCACATGTACTCTAGAGAGGGACTAACCTGTCCATATTGCTTCACTATATTGTCTGATGCTCTGTTAAAGGTCTCTAGGAGTTACAGTATGGGAACTCTTCGAATTTGGAAGTCAGCCATATCGTCACCTGTCAGATGAGGAAGTGCTGACATTTGTGATCAAGGAGCAGCAAATGAAACTGGCCAAGCCTCGACTTAAGCTACCCCATTCAGATTACTGGTAAAATCATCTCTAGACCAATAAACTTAAACCAATTCTGATTACAAATTGTGATGAAGTGAAAACGTTATAATACTGAACACACTTGTAGAATTCTGTAAATGTCAAGTTTTTGTTAAAGTCAAGAGGAGTTTATTTGTAACTGAATGTTATACTGCAAATTCCTATCACATGGATTGTATAGTATTCTTGTCTTTTGATTGGTGGACAGGGATGGTACTGAATCAGTGTCTCTATGGACATGTTAACTGGTGGTGTCAGTACAGTACTGATTATATCTCTATGGACATGTATTTGGTGGTGTCAATATGGTACTGATTGTGTTTCTGCTGACTTTTTTTTTGTGATGTCAGCATGGTACTGATAGTACCTCTATGGCCATATTTCTAGTGGTGTCAGTAAAGAATTGATTTATGGCAGTATACAGTAAACATATTGGCGCTGTGAGCATGTTTCTGGTTGTAATTGCAATAATTTGATTTTAATTCATATACTGTAAGTATGATCTTGCTGCTGTTGCAGTATTGTAAGTCTCGGTTTATTAATTGTGGTCTGTATGCAGTTTGAGTGTTTGGAGAGGGGGAGAGAGTGACAGAAAATAGCTGACCTAGTGGAGGAAAAGTTTAAATCCTGCCCATTATAAGCTTATAAATAAATAAAAACAGTGCCCAGCAGGAGTGCATGGTGAAAAGACCTGAGTTAAAAAGTGCAACCCTTAGTGGCTTTTGTGCATTGAGCCGTGGCCCAGTGCAAAATTCAGACCTGTGCCAATGTACCATTTTTTATGGACTTGGTTATCCTATCAAAGGTGCTGTAATATAATTTGTCTGTTAATTATTACTGTTTGTTTTTTAAACATGTTTCATTGCTTGCATGTATCTCCTGTGCTCAGTCTATAGTCCCCAACTGATCATATACAGTGGCAAACTGGTGTCATCGCTATTACTATAATACAAGCTAACCAAGCTTTGCTAAAATTGATAGAGTGTCTCTAGATGTACTTTATTCATGTGAAGGGTGCTATTTCACCTGGATATGTGGTAATGAACCAAACAATATTTGTACCAAGAGAAGTAAGAGCAGGGCATTGGCAAAGTTATCGGGCATGGCAGGTTTCTCCAACTGATTATGTCCCTGGGTCTGTCCCTGGACAAAACAACCAAAGTTTATTTCAACAACCTTCTATCATTCTCCCAATTTTATGCTCGTTAACAGAATTATCATGTTATGAAGAAATTAGCAATCCATATCTCTTGCTATACTACATGATATGATTTATATTTTCTACATTGGTAAAACAATCTCCTATATATTAATATATATTTCTGTAATTTTTTTAGGTATGAAGTGATGCAGTCCTGTTGGCTATCTGTTGAACAAAGACCTACAGTAGAAGAACTTCATCTACAGCTCACATACTTGTTAAATGAATGCTCCAATCAGACAGAGGAGAGTTTTGAGTGGCGGTGGAATGCACTTAAACCAAGCAAATCTTCAGTGGGCCCTTTGCGTCACTCAGATGAGATTTCTGCATTTCCACTACTAGATAACTTTAATGGTGGGGATGGATTTCATGCAGATATGGATGACATCTTGACTGTAACAGAAAGCAGCCGTGGACTTAACTTTGAATATATGTGGGAGAAAGCCAGACTGGGACGATGGAAGGCAAACTCACAATGCCAAGACTATCCATCTAATAATGGGAGTTTGACTGTGCCTGCTAATCCATTTTATGACTCTAGCCATCAGCATTCACGTCAGAGTTTGGAGACTCCGAGTGTGGTTCCAGTTATCAGTGCTCGTAGTCCATCAGTAAGCAGTGAATATTACATTCGCTTGGAGGAACATGCAGACAGAGAAAGTGGTGTGGACTGTACTGTCTGTGCACCAAGTCCGATCTATGAGAGAAAGTATGATATGCAGGAGCAAAGAACACTTCATCAGCGCTTGTCCCTTGGGAGCCCAGCTTCCCCAATTGAACCACTTTTTTCTTCAGACTGGGACCCACTTGAAAGTGGCAGAACTAGTCCAGATGATCCTCCTGCTCATCTAATATTACATGAAGTTCCTAAACTTATAGATAGATGGACACCTAGTAACAATAATCCCTTTATAACTGTAGGAAGAGACCTGCCTCGTTATGTAAACCCATTCCGCGGCTCAGTTGAGAGAGACTTGTCAAGACAGGTACAGGAGACCTCCTTAATGGAGCCATCTTTGCCTGATGTCTTTTCTTCTGATTCAATCCTGAATGTTTACAGAGACATTGAAGATCATAGAAGGAGCTGGGATTCTGATACTCTTGAAGAGAGGGGTGCTGGGGAAACCCTTGCTGGAGACCCAGAGTCTTTGGCAGAATTTTTGGATGATCGAGCTTCACCTTGGGATTGTGAGCCCTCACTAATGGAAGACCAGAGCACAGAAAGCAGCAGCAGTAGTACAGATAATAGCAGTCACCGCAACATGCCCTCTTGTCCCTTGTGTAGTAGAGGTGTGATGGGCAGTCTGCAGAGATGCTCTTGTGCTATGTTGCGTGGAGATGTGGTAATTGACTGGACCACACATGTTGCCATGCATCAGGATCATTATGGCTTAGATGATGATTCTTCTTTAAAAGTTGAGCAAGGTTCTCTATCTGAGTGTTCTATACCTGCTCGAACTTTTGGTGATGGAGATCTCTATGCTGGACCCTTTGGAGACAGTCTTTGTGCTGCAGAACACCAAGAGTTTTATGATCCTTTAATGGGAGCAGCTGTGAAAAGCTATGACATTCAGGACTATCGTAACCGCAGTCAATTAAAGACTTATGAATCACTACAAAAGAGTATTACCAACCACCCCCCTTCCCCTTTCATAGGAATTTCCAACTCAATGGCCAATTGCAGTGTAATTGTCCCTATTGAAATCCCACCTCTTTCCACACTTGCAGAAAGCATAGAAGAAGAGGAGACAATTGAGATTGCTCCAGATGTGTTAAAACAATTCCCATTGAACCATAACACACTAAACTCAGTGAAAACACCACAGGACTCTAGGGCAACATTAGATTCTGTTGATTCCTTGGACATCCCTTCAAACACCAGCTCATCAGATGTATGTAGTCCTTCATCTCACTTTTCATCTCCTGGGCAAAAGTTTGGAGACAGTGGCTATGATACAGAAAACACATTTTCTCCAGAGTTCATCATTAAAGATGTTAAAGAGGAAAAGGAAGAAGACATGGGTCTTAAAGATTTGAAGCTACCCTTGACTCCTATATCAGAGTCAACAAGTGACTTGACTTTGACAGAAGATTTTTCTGAACCACAAGCTACACCTATGGAAGAAGAATCTTCTCTTAGAACATTAAATCTTGCAACACCTTACCGAGATTCTGCTTACTTTTCTGATTATGATAATGAAACAGATAAACATGGCAGAGCTGCATGTCAGAAGCTTGAAGGTGGTAATACAAATGGGGTGTGTACAGAGGAAATATCTGTTGTTATATCAACTGCAGAAGAAGACCAGAGTCATGAGACTCATGAAGTTAAAAGCATAGAAGATGCCAGTCCACACAAAGAATCTGTTGAGGACAAATTTGAAGAATGTTCCAAAGCTGAAAATAAAGAACAAAATCATCATAAGATAGACATGCTAGAAGGTAATGTTAAAGGAGGTGAAGAAGAGATTTTGAACTGTAATGGTGGAACAAACACAGTACCAGAGGACAATATAAGTCAAATTGTCTGTGAAAAATCCTGTGTAAATTTACAGGAAGTAAATAAAGACCATTTTCCCATTATAGATCAGAGAAATTCAAATGAAAACATGCTAAAAAAATCAGAAAGTGGCTTTGTAGTACAGGTCTGCAAAGAACAGCTACTTGTCTCCCTGAGAGAAAATGTGACCAGGAATGTTCTATCTACCTTTGAGTCAGGAACTGTAAATTCATGTGTTTTGAAAGACCAAGCAGTTTTAAAGTTGTGGTCTATGGAGCCCAAAACAAATCCATATATCGAAGAAAAATTAAAGAGTGAACTTTTGTATAAAGAATCATCTGAACTCACTGAGCCTGGGGAAAACAAGTCTCCAACAAGTGATCTCACTCTGGCCATAACAGATTCCACTGAAGAATCCTCTACAGTTAAGCTGAATGAGGATCAAGATGAACCTGAAAACATTGAACCAGAAACACACAAGTTGGAAGATGAATTAATGGATGGAAAAGAAGATTGTAAACATGAACCCAACGAAGACACTGCTTCATTGTCATTAGAAACAAACCCTTGACAACAGTGAGATGAACCCAGGAGACCATCCTACCGGAGAAAAAGATTGGTCAGTGCCAGATCATAGAGCACTCTTTCTAGATTTTGGATCATTTACAGCTTCTGGGAGTGAAGCTATTAAAGGTATGCCATTTATTTCTGAACAGGAAACACCTCAAGTTTTCTTTACAGGTTTTATTTTTAAACATATATGACACAAATTGAGCAGCATGCTTAGGTGTTATTTAGCTGTATTTCCAGAGCTTAATCTTTAAATACATTTTGCATCCAAGTATTTTATACTGCATACTACTACAATGCTTTGTAACCTTTGTCTTCAGATGTGCATGGCAGTCCTATTATGTTCCTTTGGTTGGCTTTCTTTATGGCTGTCCTAGTTGCTTGCGTGTCTTGCTGACTAACATATACTGTAGTAGTTAAGAAAACTAAAAGGTTTGATTTTTATTGATATGTTTGGGATTAACACAGGGGTAGATTTATTAAAGGATAAAAAGAACTATTGCTTTGCAAGGGAACTTTCAATTAGCTCAGTGAATGTGGCGAACATTTACTTTGCAAGTAATACATTATCATGTGCAAGGAAAAGTAAAAAACAAGATTTTTATTTGCGTGTGTTTGGATAGGTAAAGTCAATGCAGATTCACCTCATTTACTAAACTATGTCAAAATTCACTTTGCTAAGTCTTCTATTAGTAAATCAATCCCACTGGGTGTGAAGCAAATCATTTTATTGGATATGATGCTAAAACTAGCCTTAGACTGGGACGTTATAACAACCAAAACTGAATCTTTCCACATTTATCAGAGTGTAATCCTTAACTGATAATTATGTTTCTACTGTACAAAGGGACTTATCTAAATGCATACTGTAGGCCCTTTATCAACTGCAGTCCTCAAGTACCCTTTTAGTACCGGTTCACATATATGCAGATTGGATGCGTTTTGAAACGCACCCAATCCACATGACATGGGAAATAACATTTCTTCCTATGGTGCCTGTTCACATATGTCCAGTGCACTGGCAGTGCGGTTTCAGTGAAGATTGAGAAAAAATCATGTAAGATTTCTGAGCAGTGTGGTCTAGTTCAGGTGCAGATTATAGGCTATTGACTTCTATGGGAACCGTTTCTAAACTGCACCTGTCATCAGTTGTAAACAGGATAAAATCCTGTCCTAAACCTGATCTAATCCTGTCTTGAACCTGATGTAAACATGACCTGAACCGCTGAACAACTACTGTACCAATTAGCTGTGAAACCTAAGCTTCAATCCGCACCACACATGTGTGAATCAGCACTCAACCTCCACACAAACACTCTACTAAATAGTCATTTTGAGGATTTAATTATTAAGACAGTGATACTGTGGTTGATTTACTAAGAAAAATAGTATGTTCACTTTGCAAGGGAATTTTCTGCAGAGCTTAGTGAATGTGGTGAAGTTCTGGTGACTTCTGTCGTCCAATTGTGTGCAACCACAATTATTTTATTTTCCTTGCATGTGGTTGGGTATTCTTTGAAAAGTGAAATTTCACCACATTCATTAAACAATGGGGACAATTCCCTTGCAAAGCAAGCAGTCTATTTCCCTTTAGTAAAGCATCCCCAATTATTCAATTGTCTGTAGAATATGAAAGAAAACAAGAAACCATACAATGTATCCTGTTAGGGGTACTTGAGGCCACACAGTCATAGCCTAATCATAGCGAATTAGGGTATTCTTGTGCTTTTAGACTTGTCCTTTCAAAAGAGAGAAACAGGCAATCCTGGTTTTCTCATGCAATCCTGGCTTTCACATGCCTTCATTCAGATATTTCAAAAGATTTGCTGCATAAACCTGGAGAGTAGGAAGAACTATGTCTGGCCCTGAGTAATACTGGATTTACTGAAAGAAAATGTTATTTTTTATCCTCACAGCAAAAGTTGCCAGGCTTTCCCTGTCTCTTCCACCACTGAACCTTCAGGGATTCCAAAGCTCCCCTGGGCTAAAGACTTTCTGGGATAATAATGTTGAAAAAAGAGATTTACAATTCAAGGAAGATGAGGATGAGGATGATGATGGGTTTGGACTTCAAGAGCCACAGAGGACAGGCTCCGAGTTTGAAGGAGAGGTGACTGGGATCCCAATTGTAGTATCTGAGACAGATGATGGGCGTAATTTGCGTAGTCTGCTAAAATCGCCAAAATCAGCTGATGAAGTGGATGATGACTTTGATCGGAAGAGGAAGATGGTGTCCTTCTTTGATGATGTAACTGTTTATCTTTTTGACCAGGTAATTTAAATGATTGTGTTTTCAAGGTCACTAAAGCCCAAAATTTAACATATTGTAGCTTACCAGTCCTTAGATCTGGTGGCTGCTTTTGTTTTCACTTTTCATTCTAAAAACATTATCAACAAGTACAGAAAATACCTTTCACAAAAAAACTAGAAAAAGAAGAGCATGGAGATGCCACATCCCTAAACTACTAACAAAGCGCACTACCAATACCTCTTGGGACTTTGAGGCAGCAACCAAACATTAAACATCTTTAAAAGAATATAATTGTATTTATACATGGAATTACCCTAGAATATGTGGTTCCAGTATGATATACTGTATTAACCATACAATATACATCAATCATTATAAAATATTGTTGATCATAGGTTCAAACCTAATTCTCATGCCATATCAAGTGGAAGCCTCAACGTGTTTTGATCAAAAGTGTCTACATCTTCTTCTGGGAGCATGGCCAGATATCATAATCCACATAAATAATGAATAAACATGATCAGAACCATTAAAAGAACAGGCACTCCCTTTAGACTACTGAGCGCCAAAGCAAACCAGACTATCCAACAAGGAACTGTTAAGGAGTCATGTGGACCCAAGATGCTAATGGGGAAAGAACAAAAAGGGCCACCATCTCCACGCAAAAAATAAAAGACAAGCACAGTGAGGGCATCCTGTAGTTAAACCTCCATGCTGAAAGGATTTAAACATCTTGGAAATCCACAATACACATCCAAAAGTGTCTGTATGTGCCCAAATAGTGTGGATCCCATGGAGAGAGATACTTGTTGATCTTGCAAGAAATGCAGTCCTTCTTACTTCCTGTGAGATGAACTGGCAGCAAAAACAATGTTATCATCCCTGTGAAAACTAATTGAATCACCCCCTATGTAATAAAAACAATGAACAAAGACAGACATGTTTCAAGTCCAGCCAGCATGACTGCCATAGCTTCCTCCATAGACCAAGTGGAGGAGTAAGTGTTGCCACCAAGGGACAGGAAGTGTGTTATTCTCAGAATTGCCAGGTGTAAATAAAAAGGCCCAAAAAAGGAAATGGATGCAGCCGTGATATCTAAGGACTAGTAATTGCAATATGTTAAAGTTATGTTTTGCGGTTTACAGGTACTTTATATAAGTCCCATATGTTAGCTTGTTCTGATCTCCGCATCAGTGTACAGCTGTTATATAAGCAGCTTGGGCATATGGATTTTATCTGCATTTTCATGATGATATGCTAACTAGGGTATTCTCATAGCATACTGACCTGATACTTAAATTAGAAATATGGGAACAGAAATGTAAAAGAACTGTTTTTTTTTCTTCTAATTTTATCTTAGAGGTGTCATTAACCGTTGCTTTTACTTCTAGAAGTGCAAGATAAGCTTAATATGGCGCTTGTGTTTAAATGATGTAAATAATTTAAATATAACTACTGAAGGTCCGTTCTTCCTTTGGGTTCTGATTTACGAATAACACTGAGAAAATATTTTATTACCATTTTTTTCACATTACATTGTTATTGGTAATGATGTTTTCATAAAGGAAGCACAGTATAATTTTTTAGCTGATGTGAGTCCAATCAGATGTGTGAACATATAAGTATTGAGCACAGAATAACACCAAGCTAATTATACCACAACATGTATCATAAAATACAAACATGATCAAAGGTGAACCACCATGGAGAATATGAATTAGGGTCTCACATAAGTTACACCAGTTCTACTTTCATCTATTCTTGTGATTTACACCAGTGCTCCGGGTAGATAAAAACCCTGTTTCCTGCTTTAGTGTTGCATCTTTCAACTGATTGGAAAATGAATTAGCAAGTTCACCTGGTTCCAGAAAATACGGAGCCAAGTTCCTGGATGTGCAGTTTGGCAGGGGTGTGTGTTGGACAAAAGTGACTGAACACAAATGTTTTGGAAGATAATATAGGGGGAAATTTACTAAGGCTAGGTTCACACTTGCGAGCTGGTTGCCGGTGTGGGAATCGCATCTGTTCCCACATTCGCAACCACCCACAGCAAAATTGCACCATTCTTGTGAGCAGGGGTGTCCCTAGGGTTGGTGTCACCCGGTGTGACAACACTTGGTGACACCCCCTCCAACGATCCCCACAGAATGAATCAGATCTGCGGATTTAGCATAATGGATTGGAGTCCAATGGTCGGTTATCCATTATTCTCCCCAATCAGCAGATCCAATCCGTCATGCGGGGATCGTCGGTTTTCTTTACAACTTACGTTTTCGTGGAGCTGGTCCGGTGTCACCCCATATAGGTTGCATGCCGAAGATCAGCAGGATGGTTCGGATCTGCGAATTGAGCATAATGGATCGGAGTCCGGTCCATTATGCTTCCCAATCCGCAGATCCGATCCATTCTGTGGGGATCGTCTGCGTGCAACCTATACAGGGTGTCACCGGACCAGCTCCAACAAAAGGTAAGTTGTAAAGCAAGTCAACGATCCCCGCAGGATGGATCGGATCCATTCTGCGGGGATCGTTGGCTTGCTTTGCACCTTACTTTCATAGAGCGGGTCCGGTGTCACCCCGTGCGGTAGGTGTCACCCGGTGCAGCGCGCACTCCCCGCACCTGCCTCGGGACGCCACTGCTTGTGAGACATACAGGGCTGCCATTCATTCTGAATGGCACCTCCACACATTCATTCTGAATGGCACCCCCACACATCTCAGCCTGCAGGGCGTTTGCAGCTGTGGGAACCGCATGGCCAAAAAGACCATGTAGTTTCCCCGGAGCCACATTTTTAAAAAGGTTCATGCACCTTTTTTTTCTGTGGGAAAAACGTTGCAGCAGCCCATTCATTTGAATGAGCTGCTGCGCAAATGCAGGCCCGCATGGCCTACAAGAGTGTGAGCTGAGTCTAAAACTGGTGCAGCTGTGCATGGTAGCCAATCAGCTTCTAACTTCAACTTGTTCAATTAAGATTAGGCAATACAACCTGGAAGCTGATTGCTTTTTATGCAGGGTTGCACCACATTTTTCTCTCTCCATCTTTAGTAAATAACCTCCATACTGTCAGTACAGTTTTTACTATCAATTTGTCCATTTTTTGAAGTACTACTATAAATGTTTATATAAATATGTTATAAAATTACTTTAATAAACATTCAGATACAGCAGAAGCAAAGTTTCAGGTACTAGATGTCTTGTGATTGTATATTGTAAGAATTCCAAGTATGGCATTTTTACGTAGTCCAGCTTGGACCAATGTAACTATGCAATATCATACCTGCAGGATCCCTCTAGGAGCTGGAAATAACTGTAGTAGACACAGCTACTTCAGTGACCTCCACTAGCTTCTGGGACCCATGCCACGTGGCAATACTGCTGCATTGTGAACACAGGAACTCATCTACTAGGCATGGGCACCATGCTTTGCATTTTCTCAGTGAATGAATAAATTCTTCTTTGATGCCCCCACCCTCAATCCTGGCAGTATAGTGGAAGTGAAGGAGCTGTGACAGGTTTCAAGAGCGCCTGGCTGTCTGCCCTTTCCCCCAGCTCCTTCATTCATAAAAATCGTACTACAGCTTCTATGAATGAAAAGCAGTCTATGAATGGAGGACAGGCAGATGATTGAAAGGTGCACCCCTTCTTTTCATAGATCATTTTTTACTCATAGAAGCTGTAGTACAGATCCTATGAATGGAGGAGCTTGGCGGAATAAGTGGGCATAGTTGGGCACTCTTGGTGAATGCCTGTCACAACTCTGTCAATTGTATTAACCCCCACTGTACCAGAAGATTGGGGCAGGTGAGGGGGAAACATTAGGGGAAGAAGATTTCTACTAAACCATGAGACACAAAGGACACATTACACTGATAGTAAGTAATGCTCCTTGTGACTAATTTTTATTTTTAGAATTAAACTTAGGTAAAGAATATGTCAACCCAACATTTCACATTCCCGATATGTGCCTACTGTACCATGTACTTGTATGAAAAAGTATCCTGTTTTTCTTGTATTGCTTCCTTGTATGAATTCCCTGGTGTTCCTGCCAGTCTCTCTGCTTTTCTATTAAAAACTGACTACACCAGGCATGAGAGCATAGCGTGGTCAGTTCTCTGAAAATGCTGGGAACTGAGCCTGCTCTCTTTCAATGATCAGACTTCTACTGACACCCCCACTACACAGCCATTCAGTGGAGAGATCAATGCACTGCTGGTTCTCCTTCCTCCTCCCTCAGTTCCTTATGCAGCTGAGAACAGAGGGCATGTGATCACATATAAAAAAGGTGTAAAAAGGTGTTTAGAATTTTTTTTTATATCTATATACAAATGTTTCACCATTCATTTCTGTTCTACACTGAATGGGTAATTTTATAAGGTGCAGGGTTACAAATAGTTTAAAATACACTATGGAGCTTGGTGGTAAGTACCTGAATTTTTACTTGGTGTTAGCCTCTTGTAGTCTAGTGTACAGCAGAGCTCAGGCTAGGAGGGGGGAAAAGCAGCACATGAGCCAATCATTTATGCTGTAGTGCCCCTGTGCTAACAAGGAACGTGCTGATAGCAGGAAAGATCAGAGGGGCAGAGAGATGAGCTCCTCAGTGTACTGCTTCTCCATTCAGTCAAAGGCTGAATGTGAGTAATAGGCATTACTCACATAGACAAATTAGATCTTCTGCCTAGCCAGACAGCACTGTGCTTGCTGGCAGGGCAGTATAAATATCAGAACTGGACAAATAGCAATGCAAATCTGTTGGTAGGCAAAGCAGCTTCTTTCTCTGTACAGTAAGTCCTCTACTTACGAGCATTCGAGTTACAAACTTTCAAAGATACGAGCAACCTCCAAGTTGTGAACTTTCAAAGATGTGAACATGCATTTACATGCCAAATCACGAAAGTAGCTCACGTGGCGAACATTGTCATCTGCATGCACCCTCTGCCACAAGCAGTACTTTTCTGTATAGTACAATAGTGTACAGTAGAACAGTGTTGGTTTCAAGCCTAGGATGTCTGGATGCAAGCATAAAAGCAGCGGTCTTGTCTGGTCACTCCATGCCAGCCCCTGTATGTACCTTAGATGTACCTTTCAAGGTACTGTAAGATTAAACATCCTTTCTTTACAGTATTTCTTGTGGTTGTTTATTATGCATTATTTGTGTGAAAAGTATTATAAACCTTACTTTGTTGGACTTACAAACAAATTGGACTTACTTGTTCGTAAGTAGGGGAATTACTGTATATCTTCTGTGTATTTAGCTGTGGACCTGGAGCTCGGCTTCAGCTCCAGAAAAAAAAGGTGTTTTTTTTTGTTTTTTGTTTTTGTTTTTTTAATACAATGTTGATTTTTCATGTTTGCTTTTCTTTTTGTTGAAGGAAAACTCTTAAAATGTTTGCGCTAATCAAACCCAACTGTTATAGTGATGTACTGATTTATCATTGTTCATCCTAGGAAACGCCTACAAATGAATTAAGCAATCTTAATGCAGCAGAGAATGAACTTATTCCCCAGAATCCTTCCTTAGAGTCAAGTATGGATGCTTTTTCATCAACAGATGGCTTCAGTAAGATATGTTTTCTTATTCTAGCTAAAGTAATTTATTCCGATAGTTCAGCATGGGTAGTAAAGTATAATAGAATTATCTATTATGAGTGCATAACAATTTTCAAGGTAATCTATTTACCTAATTGTAGCGCCATTCATTCTTTCTGATCTTTTACACTTTTCAATCAGAAAATTATGTGTCCAAAAACAAAATTAAATGGAGAGAGATCAGAGACTTTTGCAATGTCAAACGGAACCAGACAGGGCTGCCCACTGTCCCCACTGTTGTTTGTTTTATCTTTGGAATCCCTGTTATCAACAATTAGGAAAAATATAGATATAAGGGGAATTCATGTAGGAAAGATTGCGGACGATTTATTGTTCTATATTGGAAACCCTAGGATAACACTTCCTAACCTAATGAAAACATTGAAGGAATATGGTGAATTGTCAAACCTAAAAATTAACCCGAGTAAAAAAGAGACATTAAATATAAATCTTCCAAGGAGTGAAAAAGAAAAGATACAGAGAGAATTTCCCTTTATATGGAAAGATAGAGAAATAAAATACCTGGGAGTGAAACTTACTTCTTCACAGAAAAACCTTTATAAAGCTAATTATATCCCATTGTTAAACGAGATTAGGGAGGAATTGAAGAAAATTGGTGGAGGAAATCCTTCCTGGTTAGGTCGTATTAATTTAATAAAAATGGTAATTGTCCCCAAGATCCTGTATAAATTCCAGATGATTCCCATTAAACTCCCAGAGGTATATTTTAGGACAATTAAGCAAATGGTAACAAGATATATATGGAAAAATAAAAAACCTAGAGTATCATACGAAGTGCTAAGTAGAAATAAAGAAAAGGGTGGGTTGGGAATGCCGGACTTCAGAAGATATTACAGGGCAGTTATGCTAGCAAGAATTTTTGATTGGATGCACAACTTAAAGAGTAAAAATTGGGTCACAATAAAAAATACACTTAGTGGAAAGGATTTGAGTAGGATTGTCTGGGTGTCAACACAGTTTAGAGAATTAGCCGAGAGCACAAGTCCATACACTATGATTGTATTAAAGGAGTGGGATAGAATGCACAAACAGAGGAATTGGGATTTTAATTCACTGTTAATGCCATTAAGAAATTCAGAGTTTTTTCCCCCAGGTAAAGAGGAAATTACAGGTAAATGGATTAAGAAGGAAGATGCTCAGCTGAGAGATGTAATGGAGGGGGTAAACTTAAGAACACTGGAGGATTTGAAAAGGGAAGAGGGAGGGATTTTCACTAAGATAGAGATATGGAGGTCTAACCAATTGAAACAATTTGTGGGGAAATTGACAAAGCCTCTTAGAATTAGAAAAGATTGGAATTTATTTGAGAAGTATTTGGAAGTTCGAGGTGATGGGAAGCACAGCACTGCTAAAGTATATAAAATTCTCACTGATCTAGATAGTAAGTCAAAATTAAGGTACATAGAAAAATGGAAAAGGGATTTAGGGGTGGAGTGGGAGGAGCACACACAAAGAAAAATATACAGACTGGTACATGAGAATGTCTGCATGCGTGAGGTGGAAATGAACTTCAAATGTTTCATAAGGTGGTATGTTACACCGACGATAGAGCACAAAATGAGTGGGGAGAAACAACCTTGGTGTTGGCGAGGGTGTGGAGGGGTAGGCACGATGTACCACATATGGTGGGAATGTTCAAAATAACAAAGGTTATAAATCAAATTAGGATTATTACCGGAACTGAGATTGGACTGGACCCTGAAACTTGTCTTTTTCATATCACAAAAATATCAGTGAATAAATATAAAGATCTGGGTATATGGTGCTATCTAAATGCAGCAAAAAGTTTGATACCTAGGTTTTGGCGCAAAGTTGAGGCACCGAGGGAAGAGGATTGGATGAATAGAGTGGACCAGATTGCTAGATTGGAGAAACTATATTATATACAGGAAGATAAGATGGAGGCATATTATATGAAATGGGAGAAATTGGAGGAGTTTAAGGCAAAGGTGAAAGAAGTTACTCTGTAATTAAGTATAAAAAAAAAAGAAAATATATAGGAACTTGTTTTCTTCCTTTTAAAAAAAAAAAAAAAAAAAAAAAAAATTTTGTATCCAGAGGATGTGAGTTATAAGTCGATCAGATAGATGTCAGGGGTTCATTGAAGAGGGATGGGGGGGAGGGTGGGTTGAAGGAAGGGGCTTATGGGGAGAAAAATGATATGCAATAAGTGGTTTTAGAAGAAATTTGTTATGTTGTATTTCCATTTTGGATTTTTTTGTATTGCTATATTTGAAAATGAATAAATATCTAAATTAAAAAAAAAACAAAAGAAAATTAAATGAACCTAAGAAATGCCTTTTTCCACATTTTATACATAAATATGACAGTCTGATAAGCCAGTGTAGGGTGGGGAAATGTGCAAATAGTGTGTATTACATGGTTTGTTACCCTGTACTGATACACAATGTTATCCACTGTGCAGCTACATTGTCTGCCTACCTTGGTCTGCATTGAAAGAGTTTATGTACTGGCAATAACAATATCCATATAAAGTAAGTGCTGAATAGCAGGCACATAGTGGAGTCCAATCATAATTCTATTGTCAAAATAATTCATCTGCCAACACTGTCAGACTCTATAGAATTTTCTATGAACATAGCAATTTTCTGAAGTTTATCACCTCCGAAAAAAAATACTATGAGAGAGATGGGTATAAAATGAGAGGCAGAGATGCAATGCATGAGTGTAGTCAGGGGCGCGCAGGTTCTGAGAATAGCAGCGTGTCAAGAACTTACCTCATCATTTATTTCTACCATTTATATGGATTGTTCATAACATTACGACGACTCATCTAATATTGAGTAAGTCCCCCTTTTGCCGACATCCGAATGAAACAAATGAATTTCCTTATTTCATTAATGTTTATTTCAGATTCATTGAAATTCATTACTGCTGCATTCAGAAATCTGGATACATCCGAATTTCTGAATATCTAAAATTTCGCCTGAATTTCAATTTGGAACAAAACGAACCGCACATGTCTAGTACTACTTGGAATATTTTACATGTATAGGATACTGATTGTAATATTGAACATGTAAAGGGTGCTGAATGGAATATCGTACATGTATAGGTACCGACTGGAATATTGTATACTGTGTGTATAGGGTACTGTTTGTAATAGTATATATATATATATATTTATATATATATATATATATATATATATATATATAAGTATTTGATCCCCTGCTGATTTGGAATGTTTGCCCACTCACAAAGAAATGATCAGTTTAAAAATTGAATGGTAGGTGTATTGTAACACTGAGAGACAAAATAGCAACAAAAAATTCAAAAGAAATGATGCACTGATTTCCATGTTCATGAGGGAAATAAGTATTTGATCCCCTTCACAAAACATGACTTCATACTTGGTGGCAAATCCCTTGTTGCCAATTACAGAGCTCAGACATTTCCTGTAATTGGCTACCAGGTTTACACACATCTCAGGAGGGATTCTGGCCCACTCCTCTTGGCAGATCCTCTCCAAGTTATTAAGGTTTGGTGGCTGAAGTTTGGCAACTCGAACTTTCAGCTCCCTCCACAGATTTTCAATCAGATTAAGGGCTGGAGACTGGCTAGGCCATGCCAAGACCTTAATGTGGTTCTTTTTGAGCCACTCCTTTGTTGCCTTGGCCGTGTGTTTTGGGTCATTGTCATGCTGGAACACCCATCCACGACCCATTTTCAATGCCCTGGCTGAGGGAATAAGGTTCTCATCCAAGATTTAATGGTACATTGCCCCGTCCATCGTCCCTTTGATGCGGTGCAGTTGTCCTGTCCCCACGTTTGACAGTTGGGATGGTGTTCTTGGGGTCATAGGCAGCATTCCTCCTCCTCCAAACACGGCGAGTTGAGTTGATGCCAAAGAGCTTGATTTTGGTCTCATATGACCACAACACTTTCAACAAGTCCTCCTCTGAAGTTTGCCACTGAACATCTGAATGATGCAAACGAGCCTGGACGTGTGCTTTCTTGAGCAGGGGGACCTTGTGGGCACTGCAGGATTTCAATCCTTGTCGGCATAGTGTGTTACCAATTGTTTTCTTGGTGACTGTGGTCCAAGCTGCCTGGAGATCATTGACAAGATCCTCACGTGTAGTTCTGGGATGATTCCTCACTGTTATCATGATCATTGACACTCCACGAAGTGAGATCTTGCATGGTGCACCAGACCTAGAGAGATTAACAGTTGTTTTGTGTTTCTTCCCTTTGCGAATGATTGCACCAATCATGGTGATAGTTTTGTAGCCCAGTCCAGCCTTGTGTAGGTCTACAATCTTGTCCCTGACATCCTTGGACAGCTCTTTGGTCTTTGCCATGGTGGAGAGTTTGGAACCTGATTGTTTGATTGTTCCTGTGGACAGGTATCTTTTATACAGGCATTTCTTTTGAATTTTTTGGTGCTATTCTGTCTCTCAGTGTTAGAATACACCTACTATTTGATTTTTAGACTGATCACTTCTTTGTGAGTGGGCAAACATTCAAAATCAGCAGGGGATCAAATACTTATTTCCTTCACTGATTGTATATATATGTATATATATATATAAGATACTGATTGGAATATCATATATGTATAGGGTACTGATTAGAATATTGTACCTATATAGGGTACTGAATAGAATATTTTACATGTATAAGGTACTGTTTGTATATGTATAGTATACTGCTTGGAATATTGCATACAGTATGTATAAGGTATTGAGATTTTGTATTTCAAATTTGCAGGTAAAAAACCCTTCTGTTGTGTTGTTTTTCAGGTGGAAGTTTTGAATGGGATGATGACTTTCCTCTGATGACACAGAACTCAACATTCCTTCCTATGGCAGCAGAGGGAGCTGCTCTCAAGTCACCGATAAGTCCTACTATGCCGTCACCTCCTCCACTCCCTGGGAAAAGAGTGGAAGGAAATTTGATGGACTCACTGCGATTCACTCGCTTTACTGTCTCGCCTGCTGTAGACCCACACGTTCCACTGTGTGAAACTGATGTAGCGCCGCCTGCAGGTTAGTACCTTTCATAACACTGCATGATGTGTCAGTTATTAAGCCAAAAGCTGCAACCACTTTATTCATTTGCACTTTAGTATGTGAGAGATTCATAAATGTTTAAAGTTCACCTGTCATAAAATACAGCTTTTCTAAAAAATGTTGTTTGTCGAACTGTCATATTGACTCTTTGTCTTCCATATCCTGAATAACTGGCCCTTGCCCCAAGCTTCTTCAGGCTCTGTGTCTCAGAAGTGCTAACACCCTATGAAGCCAAGCAACTTACATTTTTAGAAAAAAGAAGGTGATGACAGCCTCTGTATTTCTCAAATGACACAGTAGTTCATGCAGTAGTGTACAAGTAATGTCCATTTTCTTTATAGCCTACAAATTACTGTAAGTTAATCTTACCATTTTATTATTATTATTATTATTATTATTATACAGGATTTATGGAAAACATTTAAAAAATTCAAAATTACAGCAGCACTTGGGGTATGTGATTATGTTTCTTGGTCCTTCTGCTAGCTGCTGGATCACCGTAATGACAGCGCTGTTGTTCTGTGACAGTTAGCATGTCTCCTATACTGACTCAGAGATGCTGACTCTTGTGAGAAACAGCGATTTTCTGAGCTCCTTCAGGTACATTGCTGTGTTTCACTGCGAGCTGTATTTTCTTTGTGCCACTAGATGTCCTCAGTCATCTGAATTCAATGACAGCCAGCATCATCCAACCCTCTTCCTATGAGCCCTGGCTATCACAACCTCACTCTGGGGCGACATCGTTACTCAGCCTGTTCTCAGAATATTACCTTGTTTTTTTTTAGTTGTAGGGGGTCCACCGTGTGTGTGTGTGTGGAGGAGAGGGGCCAGGCTTCTGCCATAAAGGAACTATGTTATGAGAGAAATATAGGGGCTGTCCTCGCTGAAAAAGTTAGCTGTCTGGCTGTTACTGTTTTTTTTTTCCAGAATCTGTTTTTATTGAATTATACAGAGAACAAGGGGGTGCCATACAGAGAGCACTTGGTGTAATCCAGCATACTAAATCACATCATGGCATACAACCACATATTTCTTATTACAGCATTTTATGGAAAGAAATGCCAAGTAGCAGTCTATTCTTATATGGGCAATAGAAACATAATTACCATTACATAGACAAAAATGTAAGAGAAATAAAAACATAGAAGAAATACCATTTTGTCATCATTCATCCTGGAATTAATACCAAGTGTGCATCCCATTTAGTAAGCAATATACTACTTAAAGTGGTTGTAGAGGCTTGAAGGTAAAAAACCTTCTGTGTGTAGCAGCTCTCCCAGCCCCCCCAATACTTATCTGTGCCCCATTGTGATCCAGCAATCTGCACAAGAGCCTCGGCTCTCTGGGGACAGTCCCTCCTCATTGGCTGAGACAGCAGTGGGAGCCATTGGCTCTTGCTTGTGTCAATCACAGCCAGTGAGCCAATGAGGAGAGAGAGGAGTTGGGGCCAAGCCACAGCTCTGTGTATGAATTGATATACAGAGCAGGGGCTCGGGAGCAAGCCTGCTTGGATGCCACCATAGCAAGCAAGCTACTCGCTGCGGGGGGCACTAGGGGGGAGGGCAGGAGCACTGGTGTGGGACCCAAGAAGAGGAGGATCAGAGCTGCTCTGTGCAAAACCACTGCACAGAGCAGATAAGCGTGACATGTTTGTGTCAAAAAAACAAATCAAAACTTGCCTTTAATATCACTTTGAAGGCTAAGTTTACCTTTATAAAAAAAGCATATATTTTTGCAGGGGAAAAAAGTGCATTTATTTTTCACAGGAGACGGCACACCATTGCATTGCACCTGTAATGCAATGTCAGGATCCTGCAAACTCATTCCTAAACAAAATAGCAATACAAAAGCACGCATAAAAAATCCACTTGCATATATTCCAGGATGGAGATCAGTGTCCATCAATAGATGGCTCAGGTTTAAGAGTAGATTAGATCCTGCAACTCCTTGCACAGACCCAGGTAGATCATCACTGGTCCAGATTGATTGCAGACAAAGGCTCAAGACCTCAATTAAAAAGGCTGTGTAGGTTTATTGCATTAAAACAATAGCACACTTACATGGAAGCAGTGTTGATCCAATAAGTGTAGTACAGACAGCACAGTGCATGGAAACCAGAACTTTCTAAATGGAACAGAAGATGTCAAATCTTGATTCTAACACCAGTGGCCAGAGATCTGCTCAGCTTACTGACTAAAAGCAGCATCTCCCGCCCTGCCCACTTGAGAAAGAATGAGGTCCTTCAAAACTCGTTGCCACCCCTTATCAAGTGTGCAGTCGCTCCACTTGTAGTACACAGCAGCCAGAGATGCTTTTCTTAGTCAGCAAACTTCAACATCTCCTGTTTCATTTAGGAAGGGGGATCAACACTGCTTCCACGTAAGTGTGCTATTGTTTTAAGGCAATAAACATACACAGCCTTTTAAATTGGGATCTTATGCTCTTGTCTTCTCTCTCTGCAAACTCTTCCTCCAGATCTCTGCCCATACCTCTACATGAGCTTTCAGTTACAGAGCTAGAGGAAATGGCAATGGACTTGGAGTGGGCTGATTAACGCATTTGTATTCCATTGACAGCTACAATGACACGATGGCAGAAGGGAATTGTACCTCATTCATTCATTCCGCCCAAACAGTCATGCTGATTTCACATACACTATCACAAGTGAAGAACACTTTAGGTGAGGGAAGGTTGCAGAGCAGCATGTTGCATGTTACCCTAAATATGGGTGTAACATGTTACTAAAGGTGGAGTAAGTCTTTAGGACCCACCTATAATTTCCTTGTAGGCCACAGTTGCAGTTAAATTAATCCCAGTAACCCAAAACTCTTTGAATTTTTCATAATGGCTGTGCACTTTATACAGTGCCTTGAAGAAGTATTCATACCCCTTGACATTTTACACATTTTGTCATGTTACAACCAAAAACATAGGATTTTATGTGATAAACCAAACACAAAGTGGCACATAGTTGTCAAGTGGAAGGAAAATGATAAATGGTTTTCAAAATTTTTTGCAAAGAAATATCTGAAAAGTGGGGCGTGCATTTGTATTCGGCCCCCTGAGTCAATACTTTGTAGAACCACCTTTCACTGCAATTACAGCTGCAAGTCTTTTTGGGCATGTCTCTATCAGCTTTGCACATCTAGAGAAGGACATTTCTGCCCATTCTTTGCAAAATAGCACAAGCTCTGTCGGATTGGATGGAGAGTGTCTGTGAACAGCAATTTTCAAGTCTTGACTCAGATTCTCAATTGGATTTAGGTCTGGACTTTGACTGGGGCATTCTAACACATGAATATGCTTTGATCTAAACCATTCTATTATAGCTCTGGCTGTATGTTTAGGGTCGTTGTCATGCTGGAAGGTGAACCTCCACCCCAGTCTCAAGTCAGACTCTAACAAGTTTTCTTCTAAGATTGCCCTGTATTTGGCTCCATCCATCTTCCCATCAATTCTGACCAGCTTCCCTGTCCCTGCTGAAGAAAAACATCTCCACAACATGAAGCTGCCACCGCCATGTTTCACGGTGGGATGGTGTGTTCAGGGTGATGTGCAGTGTTTTTCAGCAACACATAGCGTTTTGCTTTTAGACCAAAAAGTTCAATTTTGGTCATTGACCAGAGCACCTTCTTCCACGTTTGCTATGTCCTCCACATGGCTTCTCGCAAACTGCAAACAAGACTTATTTTGGCTTTCTTCAACAATGGCTTTCTTCTTGCCACTCTTCCATAAGGGCCAGATTTGTGGAGTGCATGACTAATTGTTGTCCTGTGCACAGATTCCCCCCACCTGAGCTGTGGATCTCTGCATCTCCTCCAGAGTTACTATGGGCCTCTTGGCTGCTTCTCTGATAAATGCTCTCCTTGCCCAGCCTGTCAGTTTAGGTGGATGGCCATGTCTTGGTAGGTTTGCAGTTGTGCCATACTCTTTCCATTTTCAGATGATGGATTTAACAATGCTCTGTGAGATGTTCAAAGCTTGGGATATTTTTTTAAAACCTAACTCTGCTTTAAACTTTTCCAGAACTTTATCCCTGACCTGTCTGGTGTATTCTTTGGCCTTCATGATGCTGTTTGTTCACTAATGTTCTCTAACCATCCTCTGAGAGCTTCACAGAACAGCTGTATTTATACTGAGATTAAATTACACACAGATGGGCTCTATTTACTAATTAGGTGACTTCTGAAGGCAATCCACTAGATTTTAGTTAGGGGTATCAGAGTAAAGGGGGCTGAATACAAATGCACGCCACACTTTTCAGATATTTATCTGTAAAAAAATGTTGAAAACCATTTATTATTTTCCTTCCACTTCACAATTATGTGCCACTTTGTGTTGGTCTGTCACATAAAATCCCAATAAAATTAATTTACGTTTTTGGTTGTAATGACAAAATGTGGAAAATTTCATGGGGTATGCATACTTTTTCAAGGCATTGTATATCCATTTCTCAGCCCGGCTGTTCCTGGTTTTAACAGTTTGTAAGCCAATTTGCTGCAGTGGGCATGCAACAAGTAAGGGCACCTACTCTGCACTCTTGCTCTGGGTCAGTGATTCAGAAAACGTTGAAGCCAGGATGATAAGACATCAGCGTTTACAGAAGGATATCAGATCAGCAATGGCACCCTTTGTATTGACATATTTCCTTTTACCATTTTCCTGACACCAAGAGAAGAAATTGTGACAGGGGAGGGACATCCATCAGATTGACAGCCTCAGCTCTGTTCCTGTGTGCTGTGTGAAGGGGGGGTGTCTCTTTGCTCCAATCAGCTCTCAGAGGTCGACTCTCTGAGCTCTGCAGAGTGTAACTTCAGCTCTCCGCCCCCTTCTTTCAACTCTCAGACAAGCGTATAAATTCAACATTTTGAACAGATGTAGAGACGAGAAGGCTACAGATAGACAGGTACCACTTATGTAGAAGAATTTGTTTCATCTTTTTGTATCACCTGAGGACAGCCACTTCACTGGGTATAT